TAAGGCCAAAGATTTGAAGATATTAGGACCACTTAAGGCCAAAGATTTGAAGTGGTTCAGATGTTTGATCACTTTGAGTAGTAACCATCTTTAAGGCAGTATATGATGTCTGGAAACCAGCTGAACCAGAGGTCACAGAGTTTAGAAAACATCTGGACCCCATCTGTTCAAACATCACCTTGGTCCGGACCACTCAGAACTGTCTAAACACAGCACTGACGCACCTGTTCCACATTTAAAAGTAGAAGCACGTGTCGTCTCAGTGGCTGCAGGTTTACCAGTGCTATCTAGAAACTTAGAACAATTTGAGTTACCCTTTAAAAACCAGAGGGACTCGTTGTCTTGATTCCAGGTTAGTTTATCTTATTCTTATGAGTTTGATCCTTATGTTCAGGTGTTTATCTTAAAAGTAGCTTTTAATTATGAAGTTGATGCAATAGGAAATAAAAACAGTGCTATATTACCATATGACAAGACCAATCAAATTAAAACATTAATTTAAGTGAAGTCATCACATTTCAGTAAATGTTTTCTGACAGTATTACACATCGATGTGCTTTAGTTTAGTCTTTCTGCTCCACGTTCCTGACGTTCTTCATGGTGGAAGTTTCACCAAAACCATGTGTTCAGACTTAAGGAAGAGGCTGGATACAGTTTGAATCTAGTTTTCTGCTACCCAAAAACCTTCATGCAGTCTCTGAAAGTGTAAAGGAGCTCACCAGAATCTGGATAGTAATCTGGGTATGACTGAGGATCTGTGGGGGGTTCTGTTGGCAGAGCTGGAAGCACCAAACAGACTTCAGGTCAGCAACACGTGGGAAGAATCAGTGGTTCGTGTACAAACGTGAATTCTGTCTGCTCTCACTTGTGGTGGTGGGTGGTAGAGTCGTTGTTTTCAGTTTGTCCTTCTTCTTGCCCTTCTTGTCAGTTTTAGGCTTCTTGGTGGCATTTGGGTCCTTTGGTTCTTTGCTCTTCTTGTCCTTCTTCTTCTTTTTACCTTCATCTGGTGCTCGCCTCACTCTGCTCCAAACGCCTGGAGGACAAAACAAGTTTTTCCAAAATCTGCATTATCAGATGAATTATTAATACAAATATCACCCACTGCCCCGGACAACTCCTGCGTTACAGAACCCTGTCTTTTCCTCAACCTGAATATAAAATACAACCATCATATTTTCCTCATGATTAAAGTTATAATTATAAAGATTACACATTTGCTTCATGTTTGCATTTGTTCTTAGAGTTCTGCTGTGAAGGTTTTCCTGCTGTGTCGTCAAAGAGAAGCCAGTCTGCTGGATCCATTTCCGTGGTTTCTGGAGGTCTATTAGCGTTTCCTTTTAGGTCTGTCTGAAGCAGCATTTTCATGGAAAACCTGGGTCTTCCTTTCCATTAGCTGTGTGCACCATGAGCTCAGATTTAATGACATGAAATCTGTCATCAGGCTGCTCGTTCCCACTTTTGGAACTCCAGGGGAGGATCAGTAAATGGCTCGTTTGGATGTGTGTTTATTAAAGTCTGAGGACGCGTCAAGAAATAAAGTGCTTTAAAGGGCCAGAGTGCATTAGTCCCCAGACAGTTCTCCAACATGAAAGCATGGAGTCGGCATTAATCATGCAGGACTACTGGAATGGAGTTTGGCATTTTCAAATCTGTCTTCAGCATGCTCCACTGAAAACGTTCAAGCCCTGAACAAATTCTGGTGAACATCTGGACTTTCTCCAGCCACTTGGAGCTGTCATACGTTGAATGTTTTGAATGTTTGTCTCCCCCATGCCGTTGCTCAAACTACATTTCCAAACGAACCGTTATGTCTGTGTCACATGTGCAGATCGTTCTCAGCTTACCTGCATGTGCAGCTCCTTCCGAGTCTCTCCGGACTCTGATGCTGCTTCTCAGTGGGTCCACTTCAAACTCCTGCTCCCTCTCTGCCTCATCCAGGGACTCGTCTCGCACCTCATCCTCCGTCTGCGTCTCCTGTTCGATCTGCAGGAGAGAAACTATCCCCCCGGCACTCCTCCCTCCTTTGGGAATCAGCAGAAAGCAAAGGGCCAACAAAGCCACGGACACAGTCACAGCTCGGCCTGTCATACCTGTTGCTCCTCCAGCTGCAAAACAATCCTTGGGTTTGAGGTTTCCCTTTTTCAGCCGTCCAGTACACACCAGTTCACCTTCCAGGAGAATCAGCCTTTCCCCCTCTGTGATCTAAACTTTTTACTCCAGCAGGGAGGTCTCCTCAGCTCCACACAGCCAGTGTGTCTTGTCAGACTGGGCTAGACAGCAATGAGTGTGTGTGTGTGTGTGTGTGTGTGTGTGTGTGTGTGTGTGTGTGTGGGGGGGGGGGGGTGATAGGCGGGGAGGAGGGCTTCAGAGAGACAGATGGAGAGAAGGACACAAAGCAAAAAGCAATCCAGTCAAATGAATAGGCAGGGCTACCAATTACAGTACCCTGCAATTTGGATCAGCTGAAACAACAGCTCAAGACCAGAGGATCCTGTTCACCTGCCGGACGAGTCACAACAGGGGGGTGGGGGGTGGGGGGGCTGCAGGAGAGGGCCCAGACTGTCAGGCTGAAGGGTGAGACTGTAAAATCACACCAAGCTGAACAGCAGGAGGCAGGAGCAACTCCTCCAGCACCACATTACACAAGGAGAGGAGAGGAGCACGGGGGAGGACGAAAGGAGTCATACGTTGAATGTCTGAATGTTTGTCCCCCCCCCACACTACACAACACCCACTACTGCTGAATGTGTTCAAGTTTGTTGCTCCGTTTAAACCAAGCAATGCAGAAGCTAAAATTAGAAAACAAATGCCGATAATAAGCAAGCCTCAAGATGTTGTAGCTAAAAGAAGCAAAGAGGTAAAGCTAAAAGTAGCTCCAATAAATTAAAACCAGCGCGAGCTTTCAAAAAGAACAATAATGAAAGAAACTGAAGTGATCTCGCCACATTTGTATTGGAAATTTTATTTTGAATAACGTTAAATGTTTTAAGAAGTAAAGATAATGGGATAATACAAAAAAACAAAAGTCCAGTGCACCGCTCCAGAAATGTTTTAATGGGGGTGGGCGACAGAATTTCAGGAGATTTGTTATGTTGCTGTCATAAAAAGATGAACTGATAAATACAGCAATATGTAATCAGCTTCTAATAAACACATGTCTGCTTTAGTTTTATTTTATTTACCGGTGATATTAATCGTTGAAAGAAGCACATCTGCTCAACTCACTGAAGCGTGTCCTAAATTTATATTTATCAAGAGATATTATTATTATAAACCCCGAAATGCTGAGGACAGTGATTTTAGATCAGTCGTCCTTATTCAAGGAGTCCAGACTTTAAGTTTTATTTAAAATAATTATATGTATTTATATTTTGAACTCCTAATTGCTCAAAAACAATGTTAGTTGCTTATATCTGAGGTTCTGTTAACCATAAATGACAAGGGGAAATTAAACATGCACATTTTGGAACAAAAGAGGATCTGGCCAAGGGGGCCTGCAGTTAGGGGGGGGCACCAGTGTTCTTGGGGGGGACACTGTCTCCCCCCACATCACTCCGGTCATTGTAGGTGAAATTTTGGCAACCACAGTCGATGGTGTTTTACTGTAAATTCCACTTTTTTGAAAGTGTACTTATTGAAGAAAAAGTCGAGTGAGGGGGTCACAGAGCGGCATGTACACACACACACACACACACACACACACACACACACTGGGAGACTTGTATAAGCAGATTATAACCTTTCAAAAATCTGGTGTTTTCTTTCCCCTCTCTGTTTTCGACTCCATCTTTGGAAAGCCCGTCAGTCCCTTCAGCGTTACATTTAGCTGCCAGGAACTTAAACTTGTACAAACAGATCTACTTAGTTTAGTTAGAAATTTGATTAGTAAGGAAAAAGGTAGACAAATAAAACTTCAGATCTTTACACAGTGTAAATTCTCAAACAAATCATTGTTTTTATCTCGTGTTTGCTTAAACCCACTCATAAACACGACAAATGAGTGTCACTTTTAAAACAGCTCAAGCTTTTGCGCAGAGTTTTCTCAAAGGATCCATCTTTACCTGCATCTTTCATTTAGGCCTCCTGATGGAGAGCTCCTGGGCCAAACGTTGGTCCAGCCCTCTCAGACTGTTTCCAACATGTTCATTACACATGATGCAACTATCTTAAATGATTAAAACAAATGTAACTAGAGGAATGTCATTTCCTGAGAAAATGCAGTGCGTGTGCTTTTTGCTGAATGATTTCTGCTGAAAGCTGCTGAAGAAGCTGAAACCAGCTGAAAAGGTTTCAATGATAAACTGTTGATGTGAGTTGAATTTGAACACCTGACATTTGATGAAAACTGGAAAATAGAGAATCCTGAAACTAACTAAAAAGTTTAATATCAGCAGAAAAGTAGCTGAAAATAGCTTTTCTTCTTCTTTCGGCTACTCTCTTCTGCAGGGGTCACCACAGCGAACTAAGGCTAGGCAATTATTTTTACACAGGATGTCCTTCCTGACACAACCACAGACCACTGAGCTACCACAGCCCTCTGTGTGGAGCAGGGAGCTGCTATCTAGGACACCCAGGGGAGCAGATGGTGGGGTTAAGGGCCTTGCTCAAGGGTCCAAAGTGGGGCAAATTAGGGTGGAAGCAGGTGTTTCACCTTTCCCATCCACATTTTGATGTTGTCGGTCTGGGGAGTCAAACCAACGACCTTCTGATTCTGATCACAGGCTTGCCTTTTCTAACCTCTGCGCCACCACTCCCCCAGCTGAAAAGAGCATAAAAATGTCAAATTATTTAAAAGAAGCACAAATTGTTGGGGGGGGGGGGGGGGGTGTCCTAAAATTAGTATAAAAATAACTAAAAAGCAGCTTAAAAAGCTGAAGTTAGCAGAAAGAAGCAGAAAAGTGAACAAAACAGCAGAAATTAGCTGAAAAGATCAGAAAGAAGTTGAACTAAAACAAAAGCTGAAAGGAGCAGTACAAGTTTAAACAGTGTTTGAAGGATGTGCAGAGAGAGCTCCATTCATTTTCAATGGGAAAAACATGGCCGACAAATCTAAACATGCCAAAAAGTAACAATTGCACAAAAAGCTGTCACAGGGAGGTCCTGAATGAGCTGAACGTTTGAACAAAACCCATTTCCTCTGGAGCCACTCGGACAGGCCCAAAGGCACGGACACCTGCTGAAACCATTTACCTCGTGGGGTCTCAGTCAGTCGAGCAAAACAATCTGCAAAGAAACAGAGTGAGGGGTGAATTTGAGGAAAACCATCATCACACTGTGCAGTCAGATCAGTGGAGGCATGACTGCAGCTGTGAAGAATGCAGGTCAGGCCGAGGTCATTTTTACTGGCGGGAGCCGGCTGGAGGATGATTTCTTTATAATGAAAGTTATTAAAACATGACAAAAAGCACATGCAATATGGAAACAAACACAAACTAACCAATTTATAAAAAGGAACATTCTCAAATGTCCAAAAGCACATTTTACTGATGCCCTTGGGAGATTTAAAACTTCCTCACATTTTGCAGCACTTCCATTTTCTGCAGTCGACGGCTCCTGTCGGTTATTAAACTGCCATGAGAGCATGCAAACTTAATCAAATTAATGCAGCAAAGTAGAATATTTGGCTCAAATGGGAAATTGATTTTGATGTTCATGTTTCAATAAATTATAATTCCATCCTAAGTGTTTACTTTGTAGTAAAAATCCAGTTAATTTAAGGAAGTTTGAGCCAAATCACAGCACTAAAGAGACTCTGCCTCCTTACTGTAGGTGTGTGTAATTTCCACGTGTCAGCATAAAGCGAGCAGTGCTCTGCATAATGTTTCAGCCTTGAACTGAGCGTCGGGATCAGCTGGGCAGGAAACAATGACTGCAGACGGAGAGGAGCAAAGTAGGGGGGAGGGAAGTCTGTAATCCAGCAGGCTCACTAGGTACAAATGGAAGCAGACTTTAAAACTGGTCCTTTCTATTCATCCCCACTGGGCCAGAACGCCCCAGTTAGACATGCGATATAAGAAAAATGATGCATTATGAATCATTTGAAGAGCTTGAGTTATTTGATTACAGCATTTATGCTTTTATTCCTTCATAAAAGTCCCTGTACATTAAAGCTGAGCTCTGGCTGCACAGAGATCTTAAGCATGAAAACATAGATTTGATTCACATTAGTAGTTCTAAAAACAAAAATAAAAGAAGTTAGTAGGTTGATAAGTGTATCCTGTGTGTGCGGTGATTCAGCAGGTCAGTGATCTGGAGCTGCAGGCCGAGGGTTTGACTGAGAGCAGCTGTGGAGGCATCATAAAGCACCAGGATGACCCCAACTTTTTTCAGTCTGACCAAAATCTCATCAGTCTGCAGGCGTTTCACGATGGTTCTGGGGTGAATCAGAATGCGAAGCGAAACCAGATCTGCCCCAAGTATTTTGTTTGTCTTATTAGCAGAGACTGCCAGTTTGAGAGCGTTACCAGTGGATCAACTTGTTGGCATTATCAGAGCTCAGTCCGTCAGCTGAGGTTTCAGGTGGATCTTTAAAAATAAAGTTTAGAGTAAAACTTAACAAATTACTGACGAATGGTTAGAGGTCTACTTTGAAAAAACAAAAACACTTAGCAGGCATGTTCTACTGTTGTTCTTTTTTAATATTAATCTGCAGCACAATCATTCAGTAACTCTTCTGTGGCACAGAAACAGGATCAAAGTGCGCCCTCTAGTGGCTGAAAAACAAATTGAACTCCAAACCAGCTGAATGCTAAAATGATCATTTTTTCAGCTTAAAATCTGCCGAGCAAGACTAAGAAAATAAACAAAAATAGCTTTTAAAACAGCATTTATTTAGCTTTCTCCATACAATACATTTAATGTACAACAGCACATACTTTATTCTGCAATAACTCTCAGTATAAAATAGGGCTTCTACAATCAAGGGATAGTCCTAGAATGCTCTGAGGGGCATGAGGACAACAGTAAAAGACCTTTTATATAAAGAACAGGACATTGAGAGAAGTGATTGTATCTGCCGAGCTGCTGCTGTAGGACGCAGACGTTCAGGCCACAGCTCTCAGCGCATCAGACATCCTGCAAGAACCCGTTTTTTTTCTTTCCCTGTTTCTCAAATGAACTCAAAATGATGGTCAAAGCATAGTGAATGTTCTATTGATGAAAATAAACCAGAACCTTTTTGGTAACATGTATATAAATCAGGCCTTGTTTAGATACCGAGTACATACCAGGGCCTGACTGCCAGACAAGCTTGTATCTTCACATTTACTGAACAGTTTGTGATCTGCGTTGAAAACACAGGACTGGTTCTCGGTGTGTTCTTCACATCAAACATCGAATCACAGCACGCATCACTGAAGCCACAAGAAACCCAGCTTGTTTCAACGTCGGCCGATTAAAGCTCGGTTAATAAGGAACCTTTTACCTGCAGCTGGGCGTCAGAGCGACCGGGCCTGTACAGTAAGTAAACTACACCCAGCGTTGACCAGACTTTTGTAGTACTTGCGTACAACTGTTGTTTCAGGCGGCAAATACAAATTATATACCTGGTGCGAGAAAAGGAAACAGGAGTCCGACTGAGAGGCCAAAACAACACACAGCAGAGAGAAAAGGAGAGATTTGTCTCAAGTCTTGAGGTAAGCAATGTGTTTCAGTATAATGCCCTACAGACAATCATACAGTTACAATCATTAATTCTTTATATACAAACTTCCTGATTTACATACACTGTACTGCTCATCAGCTTAAAAAGCAATAAAACTAAAACCATGAGATCGTATCGATGGTGCGGTTCGTTTCTGAACGGGGGGGGGGGGGGGGATCGGACTTTGGGAAGCCCGTTTCATGATGCGGGCGACAATGAACATTATGGCTATTGAAGAGTTCCTCTTGCATACGTCACATATCAAATATCTACAACAGTGCAAATTTTCCAGCTCAGTCATCACTACGTAAGCTCAATCCTCGACGTTATGAAGGTGAGATGGCGAAGAGTAACGGAGCAGATGTCGACAGAAAGCTCACGTGCCGGTGCGTTAAAACGACTCCCGTTTCGTGGCTAGCTGCATGCGGCGTTACATGAATGCAGGAGGTTCCACCTGTGGCACGACGGCTCAAAGAGAGACGGTAAAAGGGGACTTGAGGACAAAGCGGCGATCTACCCTACACGGTTTGATGCAGGCACCATTTCAACCATCACCACCTCACATGTTAGAGCTCAGGTGGAGCTCACTGTGCCTCCTCGAGAAGAAAACCATGAAATGCATGTGCTATAGTAGTAACAGTTTGCACACTCATTGACGCTACAGACTGTAACCGAGACATGACATCAACGAGCGTTACGAGGCGGCGGCTTTAGGATGCTACAGTACTAGTGCTACCTGAACATGCTACAGATTGAGACGACGACGAGATGGTTTCACGTGAACATGAGGCAGGAAGCAGCTTTACTCAGGAGCTCGACCCGGTCCACGGGACAGAAACGTGCAGCTGTTTCGGGATATCGTCCGCTCAGAGAACGTACCATTTTAAGGACGACTCCGGTACCAGATCTGCAGCGCAACAGATCGAGCTCCTAGTAAAGCAGACTCGCTGTGTGCAAAAAGAAAGCACCCTATCTGTAGTTTCCGTTAAAACGACTCACATACATACAGAAAACACATTCGCTTGCACGAGTGCACAAACCCTGAAATTAGGAACGACTTCTATCATCACACAGCACTAGTGTTTTGATTATCATAAAGAAAGACCTAGGATTGCATACTGTACCATACGTCTCCGAGGAGAGGCACCCTTCATCAGCTTCAGCTCGGTAATTTAACCACGCGCACAAACACGGAAATATCACCTAACTGTTCAAAACTAAATTAAAAAAATACAATCACATGCTTTATAACGGAATGTAGAGAACGTTCAGACCCTTGGCTTCTGCTGGGACCAAACACACACACTCGGCTATGAAACGTCTCCTTTGCGACACCCGTAACGAGCTAAGAAATCACAACTTTCAGATGCTCTGATAGAATTTAAGATAAATCCTTCAAACGCTCACCAAGTCTGATAAAAGTCTGAAGTACTTTTACATATAACTGGGAAGTTACGCTTTAAAGGGACAGTTGTTTATTAAGAAAGGGATAACGTTACTGAAAATAATTGTCCCTATAGTTAGATCTGGATTGAACCCATCAGGACCATAAAAACAAACACCACTTGTGTCTTTTTGTCTACACACCTGAACTAATTGTCCTTTTCTGGTTTTCTCACTTTGAACAGTGAATGTGAAACGATTAGACTGCTCTAATCAAGCTGCTCCCTGCCGATAGGCTGATAATCTCCTCTGGGTTGTTCATTGTCTTCTCTACCTCTCGTGTTTTGCCCACGTGCTGTGGCTGAGATCCTTGAGACACAAACGTGTACGTTTTGGACTTCTAGACAGGTAGAGTTAAAGTAGAATTTGGCAGCTGTCGGTTTGGCTACTACAATGACAGAAAAAAGTGCAAATACCCATTTCTTTTCATAATGTGTGACATCTTGCGGTGAAGACCCATCTATGTACAACGACTCCATGTCCCCAGCTTAAAGAATAAATTACAACAAAAAAATCAAAGAGAACTCCATCTGGTCAAAGTGCAGCACCCCAGCAGCGGTGGAAGGAGAAGTGTATGAATGTAGGGTTCAGATAGCAGACCCCAGATCAGGGACTGGTGAGCTCTTCCTCAGACTTTCACACGTACAGTAATAGACATTTGTTACGGACAGCTCTCACACACTCACACAGACTCTAGCTTAGATAAGTCTGGCCTCTCCCTCCATGTCCGGTGGGAGATCACACACTCCTGTGAAGTGCATCTCCTTTCCCCTGCTTCCTTGCCCTGTTCCAGATCTGGCCTCTCGCTCCCCCAGGCTGGGCGAGGGCTGCTGGGCCTGCGGGTCTGGCGACGTCCCACGGGGGATCCCACCTGCCCGCCTCTCTTTCAGGAAGACCTCTAGTCGGCGCAGCATCTGCTTGGGATTCTTTTTGGCAAAAAGCTCCACTTCTGTGGGTTACAAAACAGAAAACGCTGGGCCCGTGCTGAATTACACGCACAAATAACCACACTGGTATGAAAAGGAGCGGCTTGACTGTCTGGAAAACACGACATGTTTTCTGAGCTAAACGAGATCAATATATGAAGCCAGAGGTTTAGCGCAGCACAAGGGCATCATAATGGATCTTACCTGTTCAGTTAATGTAAAATAAAAAAGTAAAAGAGACATACTTTAGTTTACCAGCAGACGTGTACAGGGCTTTTCCTAAGACAGACATTTTTATACTTAGGGGGGTGGGGGGTGCACCACGAGGCAACATGAAGCAGGCTGCGCTTCACAGTTTCCAGTTTTTGTGCCAAACAAACAGAACTGGCTCTAACGTCCCATTCAGGAGAAAAGCAGACGCTTTCCAAACAAGCAATGAAACAATCCACCTTAGGAAATAACATTGAGGTTGATAATAAATGATTATTAAACATAAAAACATGCATTTCACAGTTATATATTTATTGTTATTTTTAAACATTGGACAATTTATTTGATAAATTAGAATTTCAGGTGACTGTTTTTGGTAAAAGAAGAAAAATACTTTTTTTTTTTTTTACCTTTTAGAACAAAGCCAGAGTCAGCAATGGTCTTTTGTTGGGTCTTCCACAGCTGGAACAGATGCAGGTATGTGGCAACATAAAACTCGTTCAGGACACCAACCACTTGTTGACGACGATTGCACTCTCTGGGATGACGAAGGGCAGAGAGGGGTGTTGGTGTTCGCTCGTAATGAGAAAAGACAGCAGACCTCACCACGTGAGACGCAGTCAAACTGAGCAGGAGGGACTCACTTGGACAGGGCCTCCTCTCTCAGCACTTGCAGAGCAATGCGGGTCATGTTGATCGACATCACACTGAATGGGAAGTTCTGAACCAGAGAAAATACACAGCAAAACTTACAGACCTGTGCAAGAACCTTCAGCCACTTGTCATTTTCTCTTTGTTCTCACATTACACAGACTTTCTGGTAACCTTTTAAAGTAGACTAGAGAAATCGTTCTCCGGCCTTTCTGAAAGTTTTAGACTTCACTTACTTTTGCAATCATTTTATAGAAGTCTTTCTACTGTACCTTTAACAGAGAGGAGGGGTTTGTTATTTATTAAGCTACTTAATTCTCACCAATAAATCAATTAAATGTGAAAAAGGCACATAAACTTATAGTAATATCACACTGGGCTGTAACTGTTGGCAACTAGTTTGCAAACAGTTTGTGAGGGAGTCTCAAACACGTCTCAAAATGTTTGCAGGGGTTTTCCTCACCAATTGTCGCTTTGATTTTGAACACATTCAAAGCAGTGTTGCAACAAATGCAGTCTCAAAATAGTTGCAGAGCTGTTGCGGGCATCTCAAACCCATCTCAAACAGTTGTCAATTTAATTTTGTAATTTTAGAGCACTAAAAACGTATTTGAACACCTGCATTGAAGCTTCTCCTTCTCCAGCTATAAAAAATATCAATAGTTAACAATAATTTTTAAAGAACTGCTCCAAAGCTGCTCGTCTTTATTTCTAAAGTTTACTCCAGTGGGTTAAATTGTAAATGTGGCAGCAGCTGTGAGGCAGCTAGAGGTGGGTACGATGTGGGAGGAGGTGAGCAACAAAATAACAATAATAATTAACTACAATAGTTTTGTAAGCGTTGCATGCAAAAACAGCTATGATAAAAATAAATACAAAAAACTGCAGAAAACAAAGCTGTACAGCTGTCTGGCTGCAAATACTGAGAATTCAGAGACAGCAACTTTAAATTAGCCTGTTTTCTCACACTGGTCTCTGACTGTCACCAGTCCAGTAAGAGATGGACCCTTGAGAAAAGAACCAACGTTGAACAATTCCTTTCAGTTTAGAATTTTATATTTTAGGCACTTTGTTACTAGCAGCCTGTTGGGGGAAATAATATATATTTTTAATTTATATAGCTGAATCTTTTTACAAAGTCTAAGCACGGCTGTTTGACAGACATGATGAGATTTTAGCAACATGGTTCTGTACAGTGTAGGGACACAGTAAATCTCAGTAATCATTTATTTTTGAAGTTCAGTCTTTTTGTGCAGTGTCATCCACGTGTCCAGTTTTCATCTTTTGTATGTGCACACAGCATAAAATATTGAAATCTCCTCGTTCCACAAGATTATAGGAAAGTCTGGCACCCTGGAAGTATAATATCAACATGAAACGCATTAGGTTGGCTTAAGACTTCTGCACAGTACTGCAAGTCCAAAAGGAAAAGTATCTGAGAAACACAGTACTCCTGACATACAGTCATCTCATAGCAGACAACACTGATCCCATTAGGAACTTTTTCGTTTTAGCACCACATGAACGAAAAGCAGAATTTTGTTTTGATAAAATAATAAAATCTATTTTATTCATCGTGATTACAAAAATAAAATACTTACATGTGACTTTTTGACTCTGGCACGAGTTAAAGGGTTTATATTGGTGTATTGTATGACTTAATGATACCTGTGTAGGGTGTTGTGATAACTTGTAGATATCTCTAGCCAGAGGCAGAATCTCTGGGTCCATCACAAAGTACAGAGCGTGCATCAGCCCAAGGAAACCAGTGCCACGTAGGTCAGTGGCTGGGTCGGTACCTGCAGAGCACACCAGCAAACCACCAGGCAATGTTTACATGTTTGATGATTTCTGTTAAAAGATGCAAATCACAACCTCAAACCAACACATGTGGATTAATTTATATGTTTATTCAAATAAACGATAAACAGTAACTAAATAATTTCAGCCTTTAACACGTGCAAAACAGGAATTTTATATAGAAATGGTATTCACACAAAAGTAGTTTTAATATGTCTTACCCTGAAAGCCAATATTTTCCCAGTGCGCACCATACCGAGGACAATCCAGCCTGCTTCCTATCAGCCTTTTATAAATGGTCTGCAGAACACGCATGTGGACTGTTTGGTTGTTATCCACGGGGCCTAAAAAGACCACCACAAAAAATTTGGAAATAAACTCAGTGGTTTAATAAAATCTTGCTTTTTTTTTTTTTTTACCTGGTGGCATGACTACACACACTCACATTGTGCAATGGCAAAAACAAGATCCCTCTCCTCCAGGAGCTCTTTGTGCAGTCGAGGAGGTCCAAACAGGAAGTGCGTGATGGCAGCCAGACCAGTTCTACGAATGGTAGGCTGGATGTTCTTCTGCAGATGTGGGATTTGTCGAGACAAAGCCAGTCAGAGTCACCGTCACTAAATCCAGAAGTAACAAATCTGATCTTTGTGTTAATATTTCATAGTACAGCTCTCCAGCCGCTGGAAGTCATCGCAGACTTTTGAAGCTTTTTTGGAGCCGTTTTGTTAAATCTCACAAAAAAAGAGACCATAATCTGCATCAGAGACTGGGCTTATGATTAAACATATTCAGGTGCTGGTCATAAAATTAGAATATCATGAAAAAGTTGATTTATTTCAGTAATTCCATTCAAAAGGTGAAACTTGTATATTATATTCATTCATTACACACAGACTGACATATTTCAAATGTTTATTTCTTTTTATGTTGATGATTATAACTAACAACTAATGTAAACCCAAATTCAGTATCTCAGAAAATTAGAATATTATTTAAGACCAATTCAAAAAAATTTTTTTTTAGAAATGTTGGTCAACTGAAAAGTATGAGCATGACAAGTATGAACATGAAAAGTATGAGCATGTGCAGCATCAATATTTAGTTGTTGCTCCTTTTTCCTGGATTACTGCAGTAATGCTGCGTGTCATGGAGTCGATCAGTCTGTGACTCTGCTCAGGTGTTGTGAGAGCTCATGTTGCTCTGATAGTGGCCTTCAGCTCTTCTGAATTGTTGGGTCTGGTGTATCACATCTTCCTCTTCACAATACTCCATAGATTTTCTATGGGGTTAAGGTCAGGTGAGTTTGCTGGCCAATTAAGAACAGGGATACCATGGTCCTTAAACCAGGTACTGGTAGCTTTGGCACTGTGTGCAGATGCAAAGTCCTGTTGGAAAATGAATTCTGCATCTCCATAAAGTTGGTCAGCAGCAGGAAGCATGAAGTCTCTAAAACGTCCTGGTAGACAGCTGCGTTGATCTTGGACCTCAGAAAACACAGTGGACCAACACCAGCAGATGACATGACACCCCAAACCACTGACTGTGTAAACTTGACACTGGACCTCAAGCAACATGGATTCTGTGCCTCTCCTCTCCCTCCAGACTCTGGGACTTTGATTTCCAAAGGAAATGCTAAATTTACTTTAATCAAAGAACATAACTTTGGACCACTCAGCAGCAGTCCCAGGTGAGACGCTTCTGATGCTGTCTCTTGTTCAAGAGTGGCTTGACACAAGGGATGTGACAGCTGAAACCCATGTCTTGCATACATCTGAGCGTGGTGGTTCTTGAAGCACTGACTCCAGCTGCAGTCCACTCTTTGTGAATCTCCCCCACATTTTTGAATGGGTTTTGTTTCACAATCCTCTCCAGGGTGCAGTTATCTCTATTGCTTGTACACTTTTTTCTTCCACATGTTTTCCTTCCCTTCACCTCTTTATGAATGTGTTTGGACACAGAGCTCTGTGAACAGCCAGCCTCTTTAGCAATGACATTTTGTGTCTTGCCCTCCTTGTGCAAGGGGTCAATGGTCGTCTTTTGGACAACTGTCAAGTCAGCAGTCTTCTCCATGATTGTGAAGCCTACAGAACTAGACTGAGATCATTTAAAGGCCTTTGCAGGTGTTTTGAGTTAATTCGCTGATTAGACTGTGGCACCAGGTCTCTTCAATATTGAACCTTTTTACAATATTCTAATTTTCTGAGATACTGAATTTGGGGTTTTCATTAGTTGTTGGTTATAATAATCAACATTAAAAGAAATAAACTTTTGAAATATATCAGTCTGTGTGTAATGAATGAATATAATATACAAGTTTCACTTTTTGAATAGAATTACTGAAATAAATCAACTTTTTCATGATATTCTCATTTTACAGCACCTGTATTTCTATTTTTATTACCAATAAGTCCCCGAGATCTGTGGTCTGGAAGTACTGCAGGGCTTCATTGAAGGAGATGAGAGGCGTTGGGTTTGAGTCCTCAGCCAGAGCTGTTTGAGCACAAAAAGTTATTATTTCAGATCATCAACTTAGAGCAACATTCAACAGTCTGAAAACAATTTGGTGTCAGTGCAGCGACTAAATGGACCTAAATCAGTAAAAGATTAATTTGGTGAAATCAAACTAACATCAACATTTTTGTTTCCTTTATTGTTCTCTTTACATTTTCAGCTCTTAAAAATAAAGAACTCAAATAAATAATTTGGTCTAAATTTAACAAAGCCTTTTAATGTGATGGGGTGAAATATGGTAAGACCTTCAGTTTATGCCGCTGTAAAAAACAAGATGTGATTTGTCTGCGTATGTCCTTTCAAATCTTGATGGTATTTATTTAACTCAAATTTTTACTTTGAAAATTTCTCACCAACAACTGACGAAAAGCTCTACTGATCCAACCTCAGTCTCAACAGATAGAGAAGAGTTTGGGTTTTTTGTTTTCATTTCAAGCACATCTTTGACAGAAAATATTTATATAATCTTGGTCAATCAACAGAACTTCCAACTTTTTATTTGATTATTTGCAGACTTCAGAAACAGAACATTGTGCTGCTGTTTTCTAAAATTTGTTTTGCATTAGGGCTGGGCGATACGAACCAAAATTAATATCTCAATATTTTTACGAAGTATGGTGATACACGATATACATCTTGATATTTTGTTTCTTTCCATAAAAGTAATAACAAAAATATATTTCCGAGTCAAAGCTTAGTTCCAGTTGTCACACAGGCACATTTATTAACAAACGGCTGTAACTCGACAAAAAAATGTCTCAAAAATAAAGTTTTTTTTCCTGCATAACAAAACCAAAAACACAGCTGTGCACTTAAAATCTTAACAGAAAACATAGAGAGCAAACATAACAAAAGGCTGACTTGCTCTTTAAAACATCAGATTTTTAATGAAGTATATTCGTTCAACCTTTATTAAGAAAGCTGATAGAAAGCCCACATGGCTGTGTAGTCGGCTTGTTTACTGAGCTAGGTTCTGTTTGGTTATGGCTTGTTGCTTTCTGGATTTCATGGTTCCTATGCTCTTGAATAGTCATCAGGAAAGGCCAAGTGATGGTTTTAAAGTGAGTTTAAGCGTCAAAAGCCAATTCACGTGCCAAAGCTTGTTATATCAAAAATAATATTTTTGTGAAAATCAGCGCATCGTTCTTGATTAACTTGTTAAAAAAAAAAAACATTTTTTTTCACTTGATACGTTTAGGAGATCAGTTCAGCAATTTATTACTAGTGACAGAAATTTTAATCAGGGGGTATTGAACAATTTTCTACATGAAATACCAGAAAAGCAAAACGTTTTTCTACAAAGCCATCCTCGCCTGAGTGCAAACAGGTAAAGCAGCGCACCTGGTTGAATGTTCTCCAGAGCCTCCCACTCCTGTCTGGCCTTTTTCAGCTCTGCATCGTCCTTTTCCTCTGTGGATAAAATCACACATCAGGTCAAATTAAAAAGCACCTCTTTAGTCTCTCCATTCTGTCACATTGTCCTGTTCAACCTAACAAAAAGTAGACTATTTTACACATCCTTCGTTAGAGATGAGCCCTTCAGACTGTCTGTGCTTCCACGAGACAAGTTATTATCACTTCTGCGTGAACTTCCTCCAGCACCCACTTGGTTTCTAGGAAATGCATGAATTCAAACGGAAAGAGGATGAAACAAAGGAGAGGTTGTGTATTACCTGAAGGCTGGAGCTCGTCTCCACCTGCTGCCAGAGTCTGCAGAAGACCGTTCTGCTTCAGCGCTGAGATCTGAACATTCAACACAGATTACACGACATGGAAGGTGAGTGCAGTAGTTTAAAGGAAGTTACTAAATTAAAATGTCATTACCGGCAGAGATCTGAGAGGAGCACTGCCGATGGTGTGGTCTTTGCCATTTTGCCCTACAATTACTCCATTCATGACCTGCAAAAAATGTTCAAACAGGCAATGTCTACCTTAAAAAAGTCTTCCTAGCAACAAATAATTACAAAGGATCAACTAGAAGTCATTCTTAGCTCACAGGCTTATGGGTTGAGTGTCCATTGGTGATCTCTTCTAAAGGTTTATGCTCAAGCAACAAACCATTCAGACCCTGGCAGGAAGACAAAAAAAAAAACAGAGCAGTAGCTTTAAAACAATTTACAAACAGTAAAGCTTTAGCTCACTTAGGAAAGGCAAGTCATTATCACTGCAGGTCTTATTTTATCTGTTTCATTCATGGCAACTTTATGGTATTTCTGGAAAAACAATTTATCAAACAGGCTAACTGAAATTAAAAACAATGTAGAAATGACACATTTGCTATCATTTCTGAGCAACATGTTCCATTTTTTTTAAAATAATAAAAGTAGAAATGCAAAAGGTAAATCAAATATTTGTTTTAGGAGAACTTCCCTAAAAATTAGAATGATGATGCATTCAAAGAGGATGGAGCACACGGTTATCCCATTGTTTACTAATGCAGCTGTACGCAAGGCCAAGGAGCTGGAGGTAATGTTATGGCTACAAAAGCAGGTTAGGGATAAGCGAAATGCCCTATCAGCTGCCACAGCAGCAACATGCTGAAGAAGCCAGGTCAGAGATTAGAGGTAAGGCGAAAGGACAAGAGCTGACCCTTCTGGCCTTGAATTAAACACATGTAACAAACTGCTTAAAACAAATAAGTTCTTAATAGTTTGACTGTGAAGGAGAGAGGGGGCGATTACCTCCGGAAGCAACAAACAATATGACAAAAATGAGCACGCTAAACGTTCCTCTGTTGTGTTGGCAAACATGGCAAGTGTTCCTAATGGTGTTAAGTTGCTGAAAGCCCAAACACCGGAATGAGATTAAAGGAAAGTTTTAAACAATAAATTAAAAAAGTACCTGTGTGTGTGAAGGGACATCAGTTTCTTCTTCCATTGCATGTGACTTTGTTTCCTGTCGAGGACGTTCCTGGTTCTGGCCTTTAAGAGCTTCTGATGTCATGAAGTTTGATGAGCTGAGGAGTCAAAGCCAGGACCAACATGGTTTCTGTAGTGCACACTTGTGGGTACTTATCCGTGCTCTTCTCCTCACATACATAGAAATGTCAGTATGAACAGATAGATTTCACAGAACGGTTGTAGAAATCCATGTTGTGCACACTGTATTGTCCTTTTATCTTTAGTAATAATCAGCTTTAACGGTGGACGTATATGAAAGTGTCAGTCTAGATGAAGTGACCGCAGTGGATTTGTCTTCATCAGCTCACAAGTTTACTTCCTTTCCTTCTCAGATTGGGCCCACTCCTCAACCCCACCAGAGGGAAACAGAAGCTGCACGATGACAAAGCTCCTCCGGGCTGGGCTCTCCCTGTCCGAGACACTTCATTATTTTGGCACAAAAGACAAATCCAGAATGCAACTCACAGCTCCAGGTACACAGACAGATCAATTTACTGCCAGGGCAGCATGCGCTCAAAGTGACAAATGCAGATGTCTTGATAGATGTGGGTCATGTAGAAACGTTTCTGTCTGGACCAACTAATGAGGAAGAGGCACAAAATATCTGAAAAGTACAAAAAAAACAAAACAATAAATGCATAAAATTAAATGAATAATTATTCCCCAAAAGGAATACACCAATGATAATATTTGTCATAAATATAAATGAAGATCTAAACTTGAATATATAATAAATAAAATGATCAAATTCAGTCTTATAAGCAGCACCTTCTCATAGTGGATCAACCAGTTTGTTGCTGACAGACAACACTAGTTGTTCACATGCAAAAGGAGGAGCACCAGCCTAACGAACGATCGTTAGCGCCACTCTTGCTATTCACAGAGGACTGAGTGATGCAGCTCCTCAGACCGAACAAGTCTTTTGGATAAAAGATGAAACGCTTCAACAAAGAAGATGAATCCTTCCAGAGGACCTGACTCAACCATGTTGGATTGATCTACCTGGATTACAGAGCAACATAAAGACATGCGGCAAAAATGTTTTTTTAGTTACGAAGAATTGGTGTGTGAGCTGCATGATTTCTGTCAACAGTAAAAGAGTTTAATGATTTTAAAGTGAGGTAGAAGAATGCCTGAATATTTTAGGGTGTGAGAAAATTCTAGTTGAAAAACAAATCATTTGCACGATTAGTGACAAACTATTGGTGGGCAACAGGGAATAAATTATTTTGAGCAACAAGCAACCATTTTAAGGATGAAGTGAAGGATCCTTCACTCACTTGATGGTACTCACTGTACCGGTATAACATAAAACCCACAAATATTTTCTTGAACTCTATCAACAGTTTGAACAAGTTTATTCCAGCAGATTTCCAGACACATTGATGTGAAACTGTGAAATGCAGGACCCCCGTTATTATTGACCTACTGTTATTCACTTGGGCTGTGTCTGTAGAAAAACCAACATTGTTTTTGGCAGATTTGTTCACAAATTTGCTTACAATTTTTTTTTAAATCTAAGGACTATTTAACTGTTAATATGAGCAAAAATGTGCAGATATTCTCTTATTTCGTAACATTGCAATGAGTATCTTTAATTTGAACCTTTACCAATTTATTATATTTCATGTGATTTCTTTGTTATCCATAGGAGTAAATCTTTATCCCGATTATAAAAACTAGCAACCTAGACTCTCAAAAACATTCAGTAGAGAATTCACTTAATTTGGCAAAAGTGAAGAGGTGTGGAAATTTCAAGCACCAACGTGTCACAGCTCAATTCATTAAATGGTTTTCGACCGTTACTCAATGTAAGGGCTGCACAATAAATACAAATGTATCAATATTGCAATACCTTTGCATGCAATATTAATATAGTGCAAAGGATTCCAAAAGGTTTGAGAGCAAACAGCATGCAAGAAACTACAAATGTGACAGATGGACTCCCTGCTGGAACATGGAGAGTTGATGGAAAATGTGAGTTTAGCACAAGTCAAATTCTACAATCACAATGTTTTTTCTATTATTGTGCAGCTCTATCATAGTAAAAACATTAACTTTAGCATAAAACACAATCCTGTTTTTAAACCAATATTCTTGAACTAGGCATTCTTGAACTAGCTGGTTTACTTTAAAAGGGCTAGTTTTAATACAGCTACAGGAACAATTTTCATTTCTTGCAGGTTTTTGTAAGTAAATATCTGCAACTTTTGGATCTCCTGAAGCGACTGAGCTGCCTAATGTTCATCTTGAAGTGAGCGTGACCGCACAGTGATTTAAATAAAAGTATTAAAGTGTTTCCGGATGATGAAGGCTACATCAGCTGACAGCTGCAGCAGTATCTGTAGCAACCAACAACTCGCAGTACGTCAACTACCAGCAGCCCAAAGAGGCAGCTTACACCTCAGAGCCACAAGGTAACAGCTCCACACTCAACCACTGGGGCCACAAAGATCTCGAACAAAAGTCTAAACCATTTATAAATAAACCTCGTGCAGTTACGGAGTGGACACCCATTTAGCTCGCGCAGTAAAAAGCCAGCTGCCAGGCTAACTAACGGGGCTAGCTGAAGCTCTGCTGAACTGTAACGGAGATGGAGTCGGTCCCAAACCCGACAAAATTCACCACAGACTAATAAAAACCCCGTGAATGTCAGGCGCTAATGCATGTCCAGCGATAGTGTGCGACAGGAACCGTTTTAAAAGTACCTCAGTTTCTGATTGTTTCTCCCTCCAATCTCGGCTTCCCTTCCCCCGTCCAGCGGTCACAGTAATTCCAGGTGCATCATGGGAGTTGTGGTTTCCTGTCTGACGCGGTCTTCATTACGTCATTGTTTTTTGGGAGGAAAAGGTGGAAGATCGAGAAGCAGTCTCTATTTTTTTACTTAAACAGTGGCATTTTGATAATACTGTTCATTATTAGAGTGGGGATAAATCTTTAATTTAAATAATCAACTTCGTATTTTCGATTTTTTTTTAAAAATTTAACTTATAGTTTAGGTGTCAGAGTAACGTAAAGGTAAATGCACACCTTGAGTGTATGAGTTGATTTCAGATATTTATGTTTTTGTGTACTTTAATGTACTCATTGCTGCTTAACATTACTGCACCTTGCTCAATGTTAATGAATGTTTTTATTATTTGTACCTTGTGTTTGATTCATTGAACTTTTCATCAAGGATAGATCATTTCAAAATTATTTAGGTGAATGTGTTCTTTAACTCAACATGTGTTGTATTTGTGTTCAAAACCATACATTTAGCCTATTTCAACTTAAGAAAACAGACATAACTTTTGGTAAAGGTTGTTATTTAAATGGTCCTATTAGGAAACATTTATTTCCACAGGTTTTACTGGCACATTTCATGCTACAGTTTTTATTTTGCTGAAACTTGAGAGTTGTAGCTCTTTCCATCAGGCCTTGGCAATAACATAATAATCAATCTGTGTTTTATGTTTTCAGTGACTCTCAGCCAATGGCGATTTGAGCCGGTACTCAAGCACCCCTAAATTTTAACTTAGCACTCCTGAAAAATAAAGAAACCATCATTATGATTTAAGGTAACTCAGTTCTCAAACCTTAGATTCCCCAAAATATTTAATAAATTTGAAATAAATATGAAATAAATTATGATAAATGGGCCAGTAGAATTAGATTTTTTTTTTTTTTTTGCACGAATCGGATCATTGACACCACCTGTCAATCAATCCAGTATGCTCATCAGCAAACTGACCAGTGGACAACTTCAATTTGTCCCGAAATGAAACACCCCTTACCTGCAGGAGCTGCACCTCCTTTCCCCCCCAAACAAGTTTGTCAGGGTTTTGCATTACGAACACTTTGTGGTCAGAGAGATTTCAGGAAAAATAATCAGAAAAATGGTTAAACGTTGTCAGTGGAGATCATAATTCAGACAGCGTTACCCTGAACGTTTAGAGGGTGAAATACAGTTTTTTCAATTTCTAAAACATAAACTGAGTCTGGAAAAATTATGATAAAGTTGACCTCATGAGCAGCTGATTACAACAATGATAAAGTACCACATGTTCATCTGTACAAAGGTAACTACAAGTAAATCCTCCATTTTCTGTCATAATTACATTGTATGATTAATAGTTAAATTAAAGGTTAATGCTTAAAGCTAGTTGTGTTTTATGTAGATATATGTTATGTTATATACCACCCTGGACACGCCCGATCTCATCGACCTCGGCTGCTAAGCAGTTTCGGGCCTGGGTAGTACTTGGACGGGAGACCACCTGCTGTAAACTTTTGCACTTCTCACAATCCACTCCATCTGCGTTGTTCAAGCCAAGAGCCATTGTCAGGGGCTAAGCACCCCTAAAAGTCAGATCCTAGAATCGCCCCTGCTCTCAGCTAATACCAAATCCAATTTTTTAGCTCAAGATCTGTAAAAATGATAGAATTTGAGCAATTTTTGTTTGTTATCAGGATGGATTAGCTGTGGAAGCCATTTTAAATTGGGTTAGCTCAAAAAAGTAATCAGTCACAGGGATGTAGCCAATGATAGTTTCCTGGTTTAAAATACATCCTGAGTTGTGAGACACTTTGCTAACAGACAGACAGAGTTTACTCCAAACAGTTTGTTTAAAAAGATCATTCTCTCAGGGCTCAGAATGAGTGTTGGGGATCAATCTCTCAGCTACAAATCTTAGATCAATATCAGTAAAACTGACAGTAAGTTAGTTGGCTGTGGCAGCCATGTGGAACTGAGCTGATTGATATATGTCCAGTTCAACCACCTCACTTGACCATGACAAGCCTGTTTGTTTCACATCCTTTGTAAAGGACGGTCTGCCCGCAACTTTATTATTCCATGTTAAAAGTTTAAAATGGCCGAACTTGTTTCCGTTTCATACCAGGATTATGATCTCACTATCGTGTGCTCTTTAGAAAGTTTCTGAATTTGTCCAGATTTTCCTCCTGGCAGAAAAAAAAAAAAAAAAGCTGGAGCTGAGATTCAGACACTGAACGGAAAAAAAAAGCAATAAAATAATCAAGGCTGTTAACAGAGCCAAGGACTTAATATGGCTGCCAGATAGCTTGTTTAGTCTTTCTTGTGTTATTACACAACTTGTGCACTGAAATAATTTCCTTTTCCATTTCCAATCAGTTTTTTTCTTCTTCTCCTTCTTCCTCTGTACAAATAATGGAGCAAGTTCTGTGAACAGCAACAACTCTGCTCACATCTGCTTATGCTTAGAATTTGAGAAATTTCAAGCAGATGTCAATTATTTGCCTCTGGAACATTCTTTTAGGAAAAGCATTATATAAGTCAGTTCTTGGATCTGTGGTGCTGAAATGTGTGGCTCATAAAACACGTAGGAGTGAAATTAGTCATTTGTCTGAGCCCAAATTTTTCTAATGATTTTTTATTTTTTTTGAAAGTGGTTCCCTCAGTGCTCAGGTTTCACTCTGCTCTCTTCTTCTATACAATCTGAAGCATTAGTCGGCAGATAACTTCTAGGAGACAGAAAGAGAGACCTCTGTGAGGGATTCTGGCTTCAACTCTGCACTGCATCCAAGAAAATGAGCTGTTACAAAACATTTTGGACGAAACAAAACTACACAAAACTGGTCAAATGTTACACAACTGGCAATAATTGAGGACAGATTTCCTGTGTGGAGTGAAACCCACAGTTACTTGATCTTAGGGAATGTGCTGCTGGACTCCTCACACACCCGACAGGCCAAACACCTGCTCAGTCTGGCAAACAGACAGTCTAAAACCCATTAGCACAAAGACATGTTTCACAATCAACATTATTGCTGGTTTAAAAATGAAAAATGGAACTTTACACATTTATTTTAACGTTAAATGACGAGGAAATGGGACTTTCCAAAACTAATTTTAAGAGTTTCGTGAACAAAATCTTAAGGCACAGTCGTGGAGAAAATGGTTTGAGGTTCAGATTTGGTTCAGTTGGCATCTTCAAATGGTAAACAGTAAATACGTATATAGCACCTTTCTATCTTATCAAGGTACTCAAAGTTCTTTACAACACAATCTGTCCTCATTTACCCATTCATACAGCACTCTGGATCTATGCAAAGATGCTTGATCACATTCATACATCGATGGGACACATATCAGAGGCAATGAGATCAGTGTCTTGCCCTGAGACACTTGGACATGTGACTGCTGGTGGAATCGAACCCCCAACTTTTGCATTGGAGGACGACTGCTCTAACCACTCAGCCACAGCCGCCCCTTTATCTTTAAGATTCAGTTTGCACTAAACGTGGAGCTGCTGGGATGAGGGTCAGCTTATGTTTTTTCAGGCACAAAGGTAGAATGTCCTCGCTATGTTGAAGGTCTTTGCATCAGACTGAGGAGTTATCTTGAGTGTCAGAGTCTTGTTGGCAATGGTTTTGCAAATGATGATCACATAGAGCAGGAGTTGACCCAGTGGACCGAGGCCTTGTCCACTGACGAGGATGTCGCCTTGGGCATTCATGGTCTCGATGGAGCTGAGCCCAAAGGCAAAACTTTTAATTTACTGCTCCATCTACAAACCAGATTCCAAAAAAGTTGGGACACTAAACAAATTGCGAATAAAAACTGAATGCAATGATGTGGAGATGGCAAATGTCAATATTTTATTCGTAATATAACATGGATGACAGATCAAAAGTTTAATCTGAGTAAATGTAAAATTTTAAAGGAAAAATATGTTGATTCAAAATTTCACAGTGTCAACAAATCCCAAAAAAGTTGGGACAAGTAGCAATAAGTGGCTGAAAAAAGGAAATTGAGCATATAATGAACAGCTGGAAGACCAATTAACACTAATTAGGTCAATTGACAACATGATTGGGTATAAAAAGAGCTTCTCAGAGTGTCAGTGTCTCTCAGAAGCCAAGATGGTAAGAGGATCACCAATTCCACCATTGTTGCACAGAAAGATAGTGCAGCAATACCAGAATGGTGTTACCCAGCGTAAAATAGCAAAGACTTTTAAGTTATCATCATCAACCGTGCATAACATCATGAAAAGGTTCAGAGAATCTGGAACAATCGCTGTGCGTAAGGGTCAAGGCCGTAAAACTCTACTGGATGCTCGTGATCTCCGGGCCCTTAAACGTCACTGCACCTCAAACAGGAATGCCACTGTCAAGGAAATAACAGAATGGGCTCAGGAATACTTCCAGAAAGCATTGTCAGTGAATACAATCCACCGTGCCATCCGCCGTTGCCAGCTGAAACTCTACAGTGCAAAGAGGAAGCCATTTCTAAGCAAGCTCCACAAGCTCAGATGTTGCACTGGGCCAGGGGTCATTTAAAATGGAGTGTGGCAAAATGGAAGACTGTTCTGTGGTCAGACGAGTCACGATTTGAAGTTCTTTATGGAACACTGGGACGCCATGTCATCCGGAGCAGAGAGGACAAGGATAGCCCAAGTTGTTATCAACGCTCTGTTCAGAAGCCTGCATCACTGATGGTATGGGGTTGCATGAGCGCTTGTGGCATGGGCAGCTTGCATGTCTGGAAAGGCACCATTAATGCAGAGAACTATGTTCAGGTTCTAGAACAACATATGCTCCCATCTAGACGTCATCTCTTTCAGGGAAGACCCTGCATTTTTCAACACGATAATGCCAGACCACATTCTGCAGCAATCACAACATCATGGCTACGTAGGAGAAGGATCCGGGTACTGAAATGGCCAGCCTGCAGTCCAGATCTTTCACCTATAGAGAACATTTGGCGCATCATAAAGAGGAAGGTGCGACAAAGAAGGCCCAAGACGATTGAACAGTTAGAGGCCTGTATTAGACATGAATGGGAGAGCATTCCTATTTCTAAACTTGAGAAACTGGTCTCCTCTGTCCCCAGACGTCTGTTGAGTGTTGTAAGAAGAAGGGGGGATGCCACACAGTGGTAAAAATGGACTTGTCCCAACTGTTTTGGGATTTGTTGATGCCATGAAATTTGGAAACAACAGATTTTTCCTTTAAAACGATACATTCTCGGGCAGCACGGTGGCGCAACTGGGAGAGCTGCTGCCTCTCACTGAGCAGTTCCCCGGTTAAAATCTCGGTCCGGAGGCCTTTCTGGGTGGAGTTTGCATGTTCTCTCCGTGCATGCGTGGGTTTTCTCCTGATGCTCCGGTTTCCTCCCACAGACCAAAAACATGCATGTTAGGCTGATTAGTAACTCTAAATTGTCCCTAGGTGTGAGTGAGAGAGTGAATGGTTGTTTGTCTCATTTGTCTCTATGTGTCCCTGTGATGGACTTGCGACCCGTCCAGGGTGTACCCCGCCCCTCATACAGTGATTGCTGGACATGGGCACCGGCGACCCCCCTGACCCAAAATGGAATAAGCGGGTAAAGAAAATGGATGGATGGATGGATGATACATTCTCTCAGTTTAAACTTTTGATCTGTGATTTGTGTTCCATTCTGAATAAAATATTAGATGTTGACACCTCCACATCATTGCATTCAGTTTTTATTCACCATTTGTTTAGTGTCCCAACTTTTTTGGAATCGGGTTTGCACATACCAACCCTCATCCTTGGTCATGAAGTGAGAATCATGACCAAAAGCACGATACAAGTGGCTGAAGGGAGTTTCCTATAACCTGGATGAGTCTTAAGAGACAGGGCAAGGAGCTGAGTCAACCCACCCGCACCTTTCTTTATACCCTCAGCACAAAGCCATATAGTTTTAAAATGATCAGAGCCACAAACTGAAAGCTTAACAGGATTTTATTCAAGTTGTCCATCAGGAAACAAGGGGAAAAATCACTTTCCAAGCTGCTCCACTATTTCTTTATCAACAGACATTACAGTCATCCATTCACTCAGAATTTACTTCAACATTAAATGCATTACCAAATAAATAAAACAAAAATATAAGTGCAAATTTCATTCTATTGGAATGGACAGATATTAAAGGCAAACGCTTTAGAGTTTGTGAGCATGTTCAAGGTTTCTGGCAAACAGTGGTGTGTCGTGATGGGTCAGAGAATCACCAGCAGGAGGTGCAAGTTAGATCTGCAAGTCATATTAAGGGGCTAAATTATGCACTCAACAGTTAAAACATTTAGTTATTTCATGCATGTTATTGTGCTCTTTATGTTGAAGATGAGTTTTTCCAGGATCTGTCTCAGATTTTGTTGCTTTGTTTAAGGATTTCAAAAGTTTTGTATCTTTTTGATCATTAGTGCATATAGATGGGATGCATCTTGGGGCTACAGGGTTTATTGCACTGAGGCATTAGGGAGTGTATACATGCCCTGTTTTGTTTTCTTATATAAAAAAACAACATATATATATATATTACAGCAGCGACTAAGGCATAAGTGTCCTCCTCTAACTCTTCTATTCTTACAAAATATAGTGCACACATCATACTCTTAGTTTTTTTTAAGATTAAACATCCTCTAATGCTTAAAGTTCATAGTAATAATATTTTTTAACCCGGTATTATAGTATCCCTGTTAATGGGGGTCAAGGTTACCACATGATTCAAACCCATTTTTCCTAAAAGCCGAACCTTTCAACTGATCTTGCTCATTCTGTGGAGTTTCTCATTCTTCAGCATCTATAAGCAGATTTAGACAAGGATCTTAATGAGCGGAGGTTTCCCTCCTGCCTCCGTTGAGCGCATCGTGCCAAAGCTCAAGAGGCGTCTCGTGTCAGCAGGCGTGAGCCATCGCCATGGAAACGTCATTAGTCATTCTGTGTCTGAGGTGGCTGGCAAACTCCACCTGTGTCTGAGAGAGCATTCTGTTTATGATCGTCTTTGGGATCCAGCCCTGCGCACGACAAAGACAAAACCAGCATCAGACAGAACTTCATGTTTAAACACAACTTTTACTTTTCAGTTCATGACAACAATCGTTCATACCTTTAGATCTATGCTCAGCAACCAGGTGAACTTGGTCTTATTTGGGTCTTCAGCACAAGGCTTCATCACTATGCAGGTTGGCCCGTTCTCTGCCCTGAAAAATGTGACAAATGAGGCCCATTCAAACCGTTTTAGAGACCAATCTATGGGTCGCATGTGCAATTTTATTACACAAGTTAACGTCAGCCTTGCTGCACCTGATCAGCCCCTTCTGTTCGGGCATTTGAGCGTGTTTAGTGGACATCCCAGCCAGGAAGCAGGTGGAGCCCCGACGTTTGGCACAGCGCACGCTCACAAAGTCCCTCGGCCCGACCACGTTACCAGACGTCTCTGCAGACACCTCGTGGGTTATCATGGTGTCCTGGCCGATCTTTTGAAGGATCTGTGTGCATCCGAATGTTAAAAGTCATCCAGACACTGAATATTTTCTGATGTGAATCTCGAATTCCAGCTTGAAATGGGAAAGCCATCTTACTTTGACCTCTTTGACGTTAGGGTTCCACTCTCCCATTTGCTCCATGTTGTCCACCAGCTCTACATAAAGGTTGTCAGGATGTTGCTCCAGAACAACGTCCAGTTTAAACACCTTCCCGATGTCGGGCAACACTTTACTCAGAACCTTGTCTCCGTTGGCCTGCAGTAAGGAGGAAACAGGGTTTGCCATTCCAGAGACCCATTAACACAAGTTTTCACACGCTGAAGTTTATATCAGTGGATCCCTTCTGTCTCAGTGTCGTACTCACAGCGACAGTCTCGACAGTCCACCCATCCATATCACTGAGGATGCTGATGGCTTTCTTCAGTGCATCCTCGCCCTGCTTCACATAAGACATCTCTTCCTCACTGTACCCCCTCTCCGCCTCCTCGATACGAGAACCTTAAATAAAGTGCTACAATTGAAACATGACTACCCAGCAGTTCTGTTAGTGTAAAGATTTAAATGTTCATATGGACTCACTGTGGAGGGAGCTTCGACGTTGGACTTGGCTGATCCAGCTACACGCTCCGGGACCTGCCAGTTTGTTCAGCTCATGATGAATGGCCACCATGGCATTTTTTCTCAAACCTGTAGAAGCAGAAACGGCAAACGATTCATTTGTTGGATGAAGTTTTTTGATAATACATAAACGGGATGGAAGGGCACGTGTTGCTCTGTTCTGGCTGTTCATTCAGCCCCTGTGATCTGAGGCTGCACCTCAACTGAGAATCCGTCTTTCGAGCAATGAAGTAAAACGGTGGAAGAAGAAGTAGAGTAGGTCACTCACCTGTCATGTTCCTCATGTGCCGATAGGAGATGCCAGCACACAGTTTAAAAGTTGCAGGCAGCATTTTCAGTTTCTAATGGTTTGAAAACAGAAGAAAACTTTATAAAAGTTGCTGCAACAACTCGGTGTGAGCTGCAGAGAAGATAAAACTTCTTTCTGTGGACGTACGAAGCGTCTCGTACATATAAGAGCTCTTCCCACAAGGACACTTTGCTATCGTCACTTAGATAAACACGCAGGCCCTAACTCCTCCAGCGACCATGTTATCAAGGTCGCCTCGCGGACATGACAAGCAATTCTCAGAGTCTCCCTAACTCTGCGTGAGATAACGTCCAGTGCCTGGGCCGACTGCTTCACACACCAACAAACCTTCCACACAAGGGGGTTAGATGAGGAGAGGCTCTCTTACTGTGGGTGAAGTCAGAGACCCTGAGCGGCTCATCTGTCCCGTCATGGTCCATGATAAAATAAACACCAAGGAATTCAAGGACAAAAACAGCTTCACTCATTTTGGCTTGTTTCTCCCCCCATGATGATTAATATCACACAACAAGCTTTACAAAACTCCAACATCATTACAACTGACAGGAAATGATGCCTCAGCAACTCGAATGTTCTGGATGTGGTTCTGAAGTTGCACGGTGTGCTATTTTTAAACAGGAGTTTATAGCATAATTTTAGTTTTATAACTTTATTTTCTCATGGGGGGGGGGGGGGGGGGGGACACAATTAGGAAGTCTAATGTGATCCAAAACAAACTAATGTCATTACAGTATATCCCTTTGGCAGACAAATAGAACATTTATTTCTTATTACATAATAAAATGTTACCTTGCGTTGTGTAACAGTTTAGCTCTGCTTTATCTTTTTAGTTAATTACTAAAATCTGAAAAAAGAAAACAACAAACAGCCAAAACAGTTTGGTAAATGTTCTTAAAAAATAATTTAATTCTACAGCAAGAAACGGTGACCTTCAGATTACAAGAAATGGCAGATTAAACTATAATAAAAGTTTATATTCTGATCATTTATTTTACAAAACAAGAGCAGGAAGCATTAAAACAGTAGTTCAGACCCACTGAAGTGGGATTGGGTGGAATCATTCTGAACAATAAACATCTTACTTGATGTAGATAGGCTTTTCAAAAACTCAACTTGAAGAAATCGTTGGATTCTGGTTGTTTTAACGAGCGAATGGCCGCTCCGAGTGGGATTAAGACCAAAGTAGATTGCAGTCCTTTTAAAACGGCTCCAATCTCCTATAGAAATTTAATAATCCTGTGATGAATTACTCTGTGCTAGACATTCGCTATGTTTACATGGACGCAAGTAATCAGATTAAACGACCATTCTGAATAAAAATGTGTCATGTAAACGCCCTATTCAGATTATTCTGAGCCGATTCAGCTCGATCTGAATGAATTTGTAATCCGAATGAGACAGGCGGTTTATGCCGATTCATTATCCGAATCGTGTGCAAGTAAACACTTAATCTGATCATTTTATTTTGACTGTGGATAACTGACCTGACTGCACATGTGCGACCTATGTCTGCTTCATGTATTTCCACCTGGCTAGATGCTAATATGTTGGGGAAGCAAAACTGGTCGGTGAGCGACACAACGTTTCTACTAGAAACTTTGAAAGAGTTCAAAATGATCTGTATCACCTGCAGCTCAGTCAGGGAGTGCAGTAACGTCTCCACCGTCATTAAAACCTGTCGCGGGTCCATTTTGGGCGCTCAGGTTTGTTTACGCTCATCATGGAAGTAGAACTTCTGTGTTTTTTTAAGGAAAGTTTACCACTCTGCACACGTCAGTACTTCTATTCTGAATAAAAGCCTGCTGCAAGTGAACGCTCGTCACGATCGGCTTGAGCCCATGTAAACGATACATTAGGATTATTTAAGCCGAATACATTTCAGTCCGATCAAAAAATGTTGTGCACGTAAACATAGCTTGTGTTTCCAAGTTACAGGAGAGAAATCACTCCTCAGAAGAACACAAGGTCACCAGTTCAAGAAAAAGCTATTTTTAAAACTTTTTCACTCTGGTACATTTCACACTACTTGTTATTTACTTTTTAAAATTAAAAATATCAGCAGCAGCCAGCTGTAGCACTTCTTGTGCAGCATGTAGCACTTCTAGCGTGTGACATGTTTCTTCCAGATTAATCATGCAATGCAAAACTAATGACAACGTAAAGCTTTTTAAAATTGTGTTCACACGAACTAACAGATTTTTAACACCGGAGCTGTTTTGGGACATTAACGATCCACAAAATAAAGTTTATGTTTTCCAAACTGACGCTGTTCAAAGAGCTATCTAGAACAGGTAAGATAATAGTTGCTTAAAATGTTTCCACTGAACTTCAAAAGATCTGAACTATCCCTTTAATATGTTTACATTGAGTTCATTTGGATAAAAAAACACGAGCTTTTGTTAAAGAAGAGTCAAATATATATTTTTCTTGTTTTAAAGCCTTTCTTTAAACACTTTGTTAAAACACGTGCAATGTTGTTTTTTTTGTTGTTTCCGTGTTCTGGCTGCTCCGCTCTTATACTTACAAACCTGTCACAGACAGAGAATACAGAAAACAGGATGTAAGAAGTAAACAAGAATGCACTGAGCTATGCTGTGCAAACTGGCCCTGCCCATTACAGAAGCCTCGTGGTAACACAGAGGGGTTTATTTTGCTCAACAAATGGAATTTAGTGGTTTTTGTGTGTTGGACTTCATCACGTACCATTTCTGAAAATCACTCAAAACTCTAACTAAAATATCAAACGTCTTTTATCAAACTGGTTAACTGTTTTGTGGACCTTGTCTACTTCATCCAGGAAAAACACATGCTATCTAACAGTAATGTTGCCTCAGCGGGCCGCACGTCAAACGCTCGCTCCGAGTCAACAGCGCAGACGGTCACAGAGCTGGAAACTTGTCAGCGTGGAAGTGGATCATTTGATTAGTGAGGAGATGAGCAGAGAGAAAACAAGGAGGGAATAATAAATCCCAAAGAGAGATTGAAGTCACCTTAACCTGTGACCTTGTGTCCTTCTGTGGGATTTCTCTTGTTTAACATGGGAACACACAGACCCAGTGCTAAATGACCCATTACTCACACAGTGATTAAACTCTCATGTATTGATGAGCTTTTTCTCTTTTTGAGACAAAGAATCAGTAGAAAAAGTGTCATCTGACCCATCAAATGAATTTGGCAGACGCAGAATTCAGTTTTAATGAGCTTCTGTTTTGCATCAGACTGCTTTTGTCTAATGTGGATCCAAAGTTGGCAAGTGTACCTGGAATCTGAAAGTCAGTGGGCGTCCCATGAAGTGATGTTTTTGTAGCTATGGACCCCCCAGAATCTTTTCTTACAAATGATGCGTTGAGTCTCAACAAACTGGTGTAACCTTTTTATGACGGCTCTGAGATGTCGTTTATTTTAACTTCACTTACACGTGAAATTTACTGCATCCAATCAAATGCTCGTTCATTCAGTGGAAGCAACATGTGGCTGTAACTCCTGCACATTTGTTTTCATAATCTTATAATTAGGTCATATCTGATAAAGCGGGTGTTTTCTAATAAATCAAACTTTAGTAGGGACATAACTCACAGTACAAAAAGAACACGAACATATTGAAATGCATAACCATTAGACGGCTAAAACCAGAGCCTCCCACATGTAACACATGGATCCAAAAAGTTTGGGACATTTATTTGATGGAGCAAATTATATTCTTTAAGGTTTCAGAAGCCCATTTTTAATATCTAGCGAAACCCAGTTATGCCTTTATTAATACAGTGATGTCTTTTTGCACTTACTGTACACTTCCATAATGGTAAAAAATAACACTGTAAACAGGAATGTGTGGACTATCTTACCTCAGAGGGGATTTTATTCATTTATTATTGTGTACTCATTGTTCTATTGTTATAACCGCTGGTATCACTATTGTGATCTCATTTGTCAACATATAATGTGGAAGAGACAGAAAAAAATGTAAATATGAAAAGTGTTGTTCTTGTTCCATTAAAAAAAAAAAAAAAAACTAAGTAAAAAAAAAGAACACATCTCACATTAAATTTGCAACCATCCAAGATCATATTAGAATAAACAGAATTTAACGGTTTGTGAATATTTTATCAATTTTGCCTCCCATATCTATTACATCAGGGATTATTAATCCAAGCTTGTTCCTGCAAAGTCTATAATGATTACTAAATTATGAACAATCGTGTGAATCAGTAACCCGGCTGTAGCCAATCAGAGCTCACCCACAACATGGAGCCATGTGGAAAGTTAATGTGTGATTGAAACAGATTTTTTCTATGTAGCCATTTTTGTGCCAATCGACATCTAAAACAAGTGTGTGTGTGTGGGCGCAAGGTAATTGATCCAAATCCTGTGGCTTCTGTTTACTGTTTAATTTCGGGGTCATCACAGTGGAACATCTGCCATCATCTCCCCCCACCCTGTCACACCAGCCCTCAGCTTATTTTATTATAACTTCTCTTTCTCTGGTAATTCAACACATTTTGTCCAGTATATCCATCATTTTTTCTTTTTGACATTTCTTGTGTTCTGCCTGCTGCAGCTTTGAATGACTGACCCCGGTACCTAAACATGTCCACCTTCAACACCTCTGCTCCTTAGACCGATCTCCCTCTCATTCACCTCTTGTGGCTTCTGTCTTGCCTCCATCCAGATCTCTCTTGTAAATGAGTCCTCATGGCTCATTGGGACTAACCTGTTTAAATAAAGGGTGAATGAATGAAAAAAATCTCTCCAGGCTCTCTTCCACCTGCTCCTTACTCTCACTTCAGATGATCACATATCATTACTGTTCCAAACAAAAAAGGGCTCGGAGCTGATTTCTGATGTAACCCCAACACCCTCCTCCCAAACGAACATTTTTAAACAGCAAAATCACAATTAAGATTGGAAATTTTGTGTGTCTACGTAAAATGTTTTTTTTTCACCCTTCAGTATTTTGCACCTCGGGACCACCGTAGAGTCTATGCACCCAAGTATCGTCACAAAAGGAGGATTGGGAGGTTATTTTCTCTAATTACAGACAAATAATTCATTATTAACTGAAGGTCACTGCACACACAGGGAAACAAAAGAGACAGGCAAAGTGTTGAGTATTCAAACTATAGTACAGAGTTTATTAGGACTTGATTGACACAGTGGGTTTGGTTTTCACATGCACTCAGCACTTTGCTGTACATCACATTGAGGAGGAAAGTTCCCTCGTGGCTGCCCTTCATCCTTTTACACCTTCCCTTCCAACAAACTGTGTAAGTCTATGTGTATTCGGGTTTCCCAGCAAAGCAAACAGAGCTTGACAGTCAGATAATAAACAAAGTGCTGATGTTTGTGTGGGCATTGTCTGGAAATCATGCTAACAAGGAGGCACTTCAGTCTGATTCAGATTTTTTTAACCCATATGAAGTATGCAAAGAGAGAAAGAGAGAGACAGGCTTGTGTAAAGTCAGTAAAAACAATTAAAATTACTGAATAGAACAGCACTTACTACTTCAAAGAGGGAAAATACCACATTCTTAAAACAAGAAGAGACCGAGCTCTCCCATCCTTTAATTGGCTGTGCTGCTGCTGCGACAAGGCCACTTCTTAGTGTGGAGATCCTCTCATGTCTTCCTTCTTCCTCCTCCTCGTCAGCACGGACGTGAAGGAGTTGGGCTGATTAAAGAAGATTCAAATAAGGTAAACCTCTCACACAGCTGCTGATATACCCTGTGTCTTCATTTATAGTAGGCCACAAAAACAGAGAGATCCTTTAGAGTTGTGAGGCATTTTGGAAAGCATGTTAAGGGTCAAGGGGCAATATATACATATACATATATATACATATATATATGTATATATATACATATACATATATATATACATATATATGTATATATATATACAAATATATGTATATATATACATATATATATATATACAAATATATGTATATATATATACATATATATATATACAAATATATATATATACATATATATATATAATGTAATTTATGTATAAATTTTTTTAATAACAAGAAAGTCTGTACATGAGCTAATGGCTATGCAGCAATATCCTTTACATGGAAAAAGGCCTAAGGAGAACAAGAAGAACACATTTTTTTTGTTTCAGATGTAGAAAACAAGCGGCATATGACAATTTCAATACAAGAATGTGCCTTAATGATCAGAGGTAAAACATTTCCATTTGGTAACAAAACAGCATGACGTTATTTAGAATTGTGCAACTTGTAAGTCATGCTGAGTGCATGTGTTCCTCTCCACTCCACGGGGACTAGGCAGAAAACTAGCAAAAAAATAAAAATAAAGAAAAAACTAATTTCTGTACAGCATATTAATTAGTTTTCAAACTCCACATAATGCCAAATATAAAGTGACACTGTAAACCGAGGGATATGTGTGTGTGTATAAGATGGTATGCCAGTGGAATGAGGTATGCAGAAGCAAAAAGAGATACAGCTGTCCATACTTACACTTTTGTCCATGCAATGAAAACACATCACAATTCTCACAATTCTGAGTGTGTGCGTCTATCTGATTGTGTAAATGTTAAGGGTGTGTGTCTGTGTGTGTGCTTTAAGCTGTATGATATGTCTGCAGGCTCATAGTCAAAGAACGTTTATAAAAGGGATCACACATTTTGATCCTCCTGTGGTTCTACATGACAGCTAAAACCCTTCAACCCCCCCACCCACCCTCCACCACCTACCTACCAATTCAACATGACAACAGTATCACAAAAAAACTAGAACTGCAATCTTTGGCCTGAGTGTACGCAAGGCAATGTACATGGTGAGCTGAGGTTGCTGAGGTGACGTGAATGTTTAGGAGTGATCCGAGGTACAGGAGGTGAAGTCCATGGAAGAATAAGTTAGGATCTGTGCACATGGTGACACATTGGGGGGTGGAGGGATGTAGATAGATGAATGAGATATTGGTACAAGGTACAGGCCAGAAAGTACACGACTGAAAATGACAGAAAAAGAACCTCTTTTTTCCCCCCCTTCTAGAAAAAGAAGAAATATTCACCAAGACCCCTCAACGTCATTCCCCTGTGGTGGTCTTTTATTTTTACAGTGGATCCCCTGAAGATGAACTCGTTTTCTTTCCTTTTTCTGGTTTCACCAACGTCAGTGGCTCTGCTTTGTAGTCCAATGATCCTGAGGGTAAGTAAGGTTTGTCTGAATATTTCCAAATGTCTCTGGAACATCGATCGTCCTTCATGCCCAGGATCTCAAGGCCCGGTCAAAAATCCCACCCCCCTCCCTCTCTACCTCCCTCCCTCCCTCCCTCCCCATGGGCTGACCATTTAGGCTTTTAGACAGTCTGTCTCCAGCTGCTGCTCAGGCCCCAGCTGTGGACCAATCAGCAACAGGGAAGCCCTTCCGAGCTCCTTCCCTTTCTGTTTAGTGCGTGTTTACGTTGTGTGTGGCTCCCGCACTGTCACTGCGCCACTAGGGGGCAGAGTTGGACATGGAGTCCACAGAATTCACACTGGAAGACTGCACACGGCTGTTGGAGATAGACACCTCTGGGTGCTGCAGCAAATTAAGAGAGAGGGAGACAGAAAGACCTGTGTGAGTTAATTTGGATGAACGAGTGTGTCTGGCGTTTTTCAATGGGTCTGTGTTGCTCACTCACATGCCTCCTGAAGATCCTGTCCAGCAGGCTACGTCTGGGTGGCTCAGGCGGCTGATTCCAGTCCAGATCTGGAGGTCTCGTTCCTTGAGGCCCGAACACATTCAGATCTCTGAAACACTCTGTTTCTATCATCTAAAGGGAGACGATTGGAGGAGAGAGGGGGTAGAAGAGAAAACCTGATGACCCCGCTGGTGCACGGACCCCTTTATGAAAACGTGCCGTACACTCACCTCATTCTGCCATGGGATGGAAACACTGCCTGTAGCAAATTTGGAGTAGAAGTCGTTGTCAGTTTGGTCCAAATTTACTCCCTTGACAGTGGAGAACTGCTCTATGTCCAAAACATCCTTACAGTACACTGCCCGAGGCTAGGAGAGGGCAATGACCATGAAGAAAATGGGTTGAGTGGAAAATTAGGAGATAAGTTCATTAAAATAAATCATTTACTGTCGTGGAATTGTACTTGCATTTCTTCAGAAGACATTTTAGTCCCGTTGGAGTCATTTTGACTTCATTTATTCAGTAGGTTTATGCTGCAGCAGTAATTTAAACATGCAAAACCCACACTACTCACATCAGGCACAAAGGGGGGCTCCACTATTCCTGCCTCCATCCTCTTGAAGTTGATGTTTTTGAAGAATGAGTGGGCCTTGACGCCCGCCGCCCCGTTCGCACTGCACCCCAGCCTCTGCTTAGGGTCTTTGGTGAGCAGCTGGCCGAGCAGAAGCAGAAGATGAATCATTTATCTTTCATTTTTACAAACTTCTCTCCGCCAAGCCTCACCATTCTACAGATTGCCTTGGCGTCCTCCGTAAACTTGTCGCTGTACTCCTCCTCTTCCTCCTGCACCCTTCTCTCCACCTCCTCTCGCTTCACTCGCTCTTTGCGAGCGCGGAAAGGCGATCTTCCGGCGGTCATCTCATAAACGAGGCAGCCCAGTCCCCACCAGTCGGGACTCATGGCGTACTTCTCATTATTGATTACCTCCGGCGCTGGACAGGAAAGAATACAGTGTGTTATGGTTGAAGAGCTTCTAAATGTATGTTTGGAAACGATGACTGCGGTGCTTCTTACCCATGTAGCCGACCGTCCCCACCCGCCCTCTGATGAGTTCTCCATCAGGCACTTTGATGGCCAGACCCAGGTCAGAAATACGAATGTGACCTGTCGCAAAAAAAGGCAGGCTCATTAGCGGTAAACACAGTTTATTGTGTGTTTAAAGAGCTAATTCAGCTCTTTTGAAGTGGGTTTTTGGAAGTCGAACACAGATCTGACTGAATCGATGAGCTAATGGCTAGTTTGAGTGAGACCACGAACAAAGTAGATTGAACAACTCAAATTTAAAGACCCCATAGCCTGTCAAGCAAACACTGTTTTTTTTGTTAACCCTTCTATTGCCATCAATTTCACATTACACGAGCTGTTTACATGGATGTCTAAAGTTATTTGGGAGCAAAAATAGCAGCAGCGGCAACGAGAAACACTTCCAGTGCAGGCCGGGTTACTTCCAGCAGGAAAATCATTCAGTCTGTGCAATACTCTTTAAAGTAATGTTCACAAGGACCACTAAGAAACTTTTAGGACTGGAGTTGTTGTAAGATGCAACAATCCACTTTAGTGTCGATGACTCTGTAGCTCATCAGTCCAGTCAAAATTAAACACTTCTTCAAACTGAGGACCTTTAAAGAAGTATCAACAACAGGTGAGATATTAGTTGTTCACAATTATTCCACAGAAACCCACTAAAAAGATCTGAACTAGGCCTTTAAAGGGACAGTCTGGTGATTTTCGAAGTGATGTTCTGTCAAATAGTTATCACCTTGTCTGATGGTGCGGTCCAGTGCTTCAGAAAAATACTTAACCAAACTACAATTAGTCCAAAATAGAGCAGCTCGTCTTGCACTGAATTGTTCCATATATACAAATACTGTCAGTATGCACAAAGCATTAAGTTTGCTTTGGTTAAAAATAATGTTGACATTGCCCTTTTATGTTTTTTTTTTTTTTTTGAAACATTATGGTATCCAAGATACCAAATGTTTTATATATTCAACTTTTATTTAGCCAAACTTTACATAATTTTAATACAAGGCATGCTTTAAAGGTTGTAACCATGCAACCACCATGCAACATGAATGCTGGACAAAAGACTGATATCTTTAGAGGAATGAAAATGTGGAACTCTCTTCCTTCATCTGTGTTAAATGTAACAACTGCTAGAGCTTTAAAAAGAGCCCTGCTAAATTATTTTATTATATAAAATGTTATTATACATTTATGGATGAATTATATGTTACTAATGTTATATTAAGTGTGTGTAACTGTTTTTGTAATAATGTTTTTATTTTTTTAATGATGTGGACCCCAGGAAGAGTAGCCATTGTTACAACAATGGTTAAATGGGGATCCGAATAAATAAATACAAAAAATATGTCATGAGCCATGATCTCGTCCACAGAGCACGGCATGTGAAGGCCAGAAGTCTTCCTCCAGGCTAGGCTAATAAATGATCCCACTGGGGCCTGTGTTACGGAGTTTTTTAGGCTTCTAATGTAAAACAGCTCTATGAAGACAAGATTTGAACAAGTACAATAAGATGTGCGAGACTTATATGTGCACAGCAATGTGTGTTTGTGCGTATGTGTTTCAATATTAGGGTTATGAGCTACTGTGCCAAGTCAGACTTTTGTCGTTTCTAATATTAAAGTCAATCTGGTAATGCCCAGATGTCCCAGCTTTTCACTGGCCTTGAACGCAGCATTAGGTTTGTGACTGGAGCGTGAAGAAAGTCTCACAAATCACATGGAAGCTGATCCATGCGCTCGTGTTGACTGATCTGTCTGCGGCAGGCGATTTGTGTACACGTTTGACCATTTGTACGTGAAGCAAATAACTGTAACTGTGTGCGCACTTTGAAATGTGTACATTTAAAACTCTGCGCACTTGTAAATCTTGCTATAATATAGCATACAAACCTTGAATGCTTTTGTGAAAACTTTTGAGAATAAGTTATCTTCATACAACTCTACCTTACAAAGCTCACACTGGTGTGAAAGAACGTTACTCTGGCTAATATTAAACTGCTACACTTTTACACAGCACCGTTTGTTCTAGTTTGTCATTTTCTCAACCTCACTCGGCCATCAGCTTAATCTGGAGAGACTTCAACCCTGTTCTTTTTACTCAGTGATCTGTCACGGCTGATGAATTGTTATTAATAGAAGAGACTATCCCTTTAAGGAAACAAAATGTTGTGCAAACCAGTCAAATCCTGAATCAGAAAAGCTTCTGAACTCACCATTGTCATCTAATAGGATGTTCTCCGGTTTCAAATCTCTACAAAAAGAACAAAATCATCCGTTCAGACACAAACTGTAAAATGAGTGAGAGCACGTGTTAGCGGGAAATGCTACGAGTGCCACCTGTAGACAATGGATTCTCTGTGCAAATGTTCGAGCCCACAGCAGATCTGAGCAGCGTAAAACTGGACCCGGTCTTTGTCGAAGCCCGGCGTGCCCATGTTGTAGATGTGGAACTTCAGGTCTCCGCCGTTCATGATGGTCAGCACCAGACACAGAGCGTCTTTGGTCTCGTACGCGTACGCTAAACTCACCTGGAGGAGCACGGAGAACAGTGTGAGATGAACGCACCTCAAAAACAGAAAGGGAGAAAACCACTTCTCTTTACGTTTACTCACAACAAATCTACTGTTGACCTTCTCCAAAATCAGCTTCTCGTTGAGCGCCATGGACTCTCCTTTCCTCTTCTTGATTCTCTTCTTCTCCAGTTTTTTGCACGCGTACATCTTCCCTGTGGCTCTGACCTGGCATGCACACACCTGGAGAAAAGAGCAAACAGCATGTTATAACTAAAACACACTAACAGTTAGCACTGAACGTCTTACCTCTCCGAATCCCCCCTTCCCCAGCACTCGATACTGTCTGAACGTGTCTTTAGTGATTGGCTGCCTGCAAGAACACAGAAGCAGCAAAATCCATGAATAGACGGTTATGTCGTATTGATCAGGACAGATATTGTCAGCAGAACTTGATACCATCCTGAGTCTGTGTCCTGAGCAGACGGTGTGGCCTGTTGTACATCCTTTTCCCCCCTGCTGTTACTTGAAACTGACTTGAATATGCAAAAAGCTGTCCGGAGTGAACATTCACATCCAAAAGGTGACTGTTTTTAAACGTTCTCATTTATTCTCTTCTTAAAGACTAAAATCTATCTGATGTTAAAATAAAACAAAACGGGAAATGTTGATGTGTCTGAGATTTATTTGGCGCTTTTAAAAAGATTTGAGGAGTTTTCATGGCGGAATTTATTACACGTTCATTTTTCTGTTAAGTATTACAGTAGTTCCTTATACTTCGCGTTTCGTTTATCGCAGACTCGCTCCATCGCAGTTCTCCAAAATAAGATTGGACATGACACACAATTGTCTGATTGATGGATGAGCCGCACAATCGGCATGGATTTTTATTATTAAATGAATTATTTTAAATTATTTAGCACCTGCTGTCCCTTTGTGCAGCCCACACTGCAAGAGAAGCTTCCTCCTGCAGCGTGTCATATCTTCACTCTGCAGCGGAGAAGTGGGCGTGGCCAAGAGCGCAGCCAGAGGCAGAGAGATGAAATCATGACAATCTGTGCTCTTTTAGAGTGTTTAGAGTTTAGAAAAATTGTTTAGAATATTGCGAGAGCGTGGGAAGGGCTTTAAACGCCTTCATATATATATATATATATATATATATATATATATATATATATATATA